GAATGTCTGTTAGTGTAAAGCGCTTTGGGGTCCGGAGGGACTTGAAAAGCGCTCTATAAGTTCAGTACCATTTACCATCTGAGGCCTCGGTGGAAAATGTTTGCAGGACCCAAAGTCTGCCTCTATCAGTGCCTCTCTGTGGGCTCCAGGCTCACGAACCACGGCTGAGTAACTGAGCAGAGTAAAGGTGATTACACTTACAAAAACTTCGACTGTCTGACTCCCAATCAGTCACACTGTCTGACAGGAGCGGGGTCTCTCTGCCCATTAGCTGGACAGTGTGAGCTTTGTTTGATTTTAATTGACTAAGTAGCATGGTTTTGTGTTTGAGTCCCGAATGTTTGACGAAACAAATATGTAAAAGAAAAAGATGGGATGAAAAAAAATATGTCTCACCAGCTCCCTTCTGAGCCAAGAGAGCGCCTCGTCGATGCTGTCAAACCCCTTCAGAACGCCGCTTGATGACAGCTTTGGCTGGATCTGCTCTGCGGTCTCTTTGTGCGCTGCTGGTTCCCCATCAGGCTCCTCCTGGAACTGGCATTTTCCAGTCCCCGGCTCTTTGAAGCGTTCCGTCTCCAGCCGGGCTTTCCACTCCAGGTAGGACGGCCTTCTGGTCTCCAGTCTTAATTTCTCTGTCAAGGCCTTCAGGGTCATGAGGTGGTCATCTACGGGCGAATCCACACCTTCCCCACAGTCTGCTTCCTGCAGCCCGTTTGGTCTGTTCACCACCATCTTTGGAGATGTCACTGCGTCCATCATTAATCTGCAAAATGCAAGAAGGAAGAATTACAAGCAGTCCAAATATGCCATCTTCACCAACTCATTGGTTTTAACGTGGGAGCAACCCAACCTCATCCTCATCCCAAGAATTCACCCGATATGATTGATGTTAGGGCTGCAACTAACGATTATTTTAATAATCGATTAATCTGTTGATTATTTTTCACGGCCAAATCATTAAAACGCTTAATTACATGAATATGAGTAGATATAGATTAAGTTAACTCCTTAAGGGTGCAAGTTATTGATAATGAATTAATCTGAAGTTGATTTATCTTATAGATTGATTAACAATTAATTAATAAA